GATCCATTCCATCATATTCAACTTTTATGTGGCATTTCTTTATTGAGGCACTGGAAGGTACTGGGCTGACTCATGCTTCCTAGATTCAATGGGTGTAACGATGTCAGGTCTGCTGCAGTGAACAGTATCAGTCTCACTATTACATTGGGATTTCTTTAAAATATTCCATTTGCAAATCCTCATTCAAAGTATGCATTCTTTTCTTATTCTTTGTATTAATTTTGACACTGAAGTAATACTTTATAATTAAATTATTTTTAATGCGTCAAGCAACTTCAAACTACTAAACTGTCAGTTTTCCTATTGAACTGTAACTATGAGATTAGGTATTGTGTTTTATCTAAAATTTATATCTCAACCAAAGTCTATCACGGTGGTCAGCAAAGAGTAGAGATTTAATAGTGGAAAATAAAATCACTCAAGCAAGGTGAACTGGAGACCCTAATGCCAGAGGGCAAATTTAATCTCATAGATATCACTGAGACTTGTCAGGATGAGACCCATGACTACACTGTGGCTCTGGAAAAGTCTACTTTAGGCAGAAGAGACAATATAGTTAAAAGATTGTGTGTGTGTGTGTGTGTGTGTGTGTGTGCATGCATGAGTGCCTATTGTGGGGTCTGGGGAAGAGTTCCAAATTGCTTTCCAGAATGATTCCAGCATAGCTCCAGCAACAGTGCATGAGTGTTCGTGTTTTCCCAAAGCCCCTCCGACATTTTCATCTTTGGTGCATCTTTTCTGATGTAGGAATAGAGTCAATGTCTGGGGAGCCATCAGCAGCAGGGTCCTTAGTTGTTCTGGGGTGGCCCCATAGCAAACGGAATGCAAGCACAGTCAGGCTGGGACTGCTACAGGGGTGAGATTGTGGACATTCATTTAGTCTATATGTATGTGTTCTGCCAACTGAGAACCATTTGGGGCTATCAGGATGTGCTACTGATTTCTCACAGACCTTAATACATTCAGAATTTTAATGAGATCCTGAATGAGAATTTAAAAGACTACTTAGAAGGTATCCTATGAGATTTGCCAGCCTTTATTGATATCTCTGTGCAATGAAACAACTGAGCTGATGTATCTGAAGATCTAGGTTTGAATCCTGGTTCTGCTACTTCCTGGTAACCTTGAGTAAGTCATGGAATCTCTTGGGCCTTCCTCATTTTTAAGATGAAGAGGTTGGACTTGATGATTTCCAATTCTTCCTAAATCTAAGTTCAGCTGTAAGTCCGTAATATCTATGCCCTCACTGGTAGGTGTGAGTCAATTCCTTGGGTATATGTAAAGAGGCTTATTATGTGCCTCCTCCTATGTAAAGGACAGTGGATAGAGCACTGGGCTTGGAATCAGGAAGACTCATCTCCAGGAGCTCAAATTCTGCCTCAGACACTTATTAGCCATGGTCATGTCACTTAACCCTGTTTGCTCTTCATCTGTCAAATGAGCTGGAAAAGGAAATGTCAAACCACTCCAATACCTTTGCCAAGAAAACCTCAAAACAAGGGTTATGAAGAGTCAGTCACAAGCGAAACGACTGAACAACAATGGACAGGAAAGGGAAGGATGGTAACCAGTTACCAAAAACAGGAAGGTTGGGCATTGATCTTTGTGTTAGGAAGGTAGTAACTAAATGCAGTAACCCTGACAAGGGCACCAGCCTTACTTTCTCTGAGATTGCCCGTAGCCAGTCTATAACACCTGAGCCAGGGTTTCTAAGCTGCCTCATATTGTAGAATTTGATACAGGAAAAAAGGCATTTGGATTTGAAGATGGAGGACCTGCCTCTCACTACCAAGGTGACCTTGGGTCAAATGCTTAGGATTAAAGGACATCTAAGGCCCTTTCCAGCTGTAAATCTGTGACCCTGTGACTACACTGTTAGAAAGAAGAACCAGAGTCAGAAAGCCTGATGAGAATTGTTTGGCAGAGTGGTCTAGTTCTCTGGTTACCTAAGCAGCATTCCCTGTGTATTTTTGTGTTCTCTTTGTTTTGTGTGCCTTTGAGAACCTTGTGTCATAGACTGTATAGCACAAACTGCCAGAGTCCTCAAGGCACAAACTATATACACTAGTGTCCCAAAAATCTTAGTGCAGTGTTAAGTTTTCACATCCTAAAATGGCACCAAGACTTTTGGGGCAGGCTGTATCAAAAGGCTTTAGCAATGATGATGCTGTGTCACAATCACTGACAGCTGATTCTTATTAGGACTTGGGCTCTTCCCAGTTCTCTTGAGCATGTATCATGTCTGTGTCAGAGATTTTAGAGTTATTTCAATCAAAAAACATCTATTAAGTGCTTGGGACCCTGAAAGATGATTCTATGATCTTATAATAGAGTTGATATTTTAGGCCCTAGGCCAAGTGCCATTATTGATTAAGGACTGATAATTAGACTTACCTATCACAAATATTACTTTGGCTATCGAGTGAAGGTTAGAGAGGGGATAGCTTGGAGGCAGTCCGTGACCCATTAGAACAGTATAAGCAGTCAAGTATACAGTGGAAAGATTTGCAAATAAGCAATTTGGGTTGAAGTCCTCATTCTGTTAACCTGCTGGATGACCTTAGATAAGTCACTTTCCCTCTGGGCTTCAGCTTCTTCATCTATAAAGGCAACTTGGACTAAATGATTTCCAAGTTATCTCCTATCTCTGAAGGTTGGTGCTCTAAAACTTATCAATAAGCTTTGCAACAGGCTATTGTGAATGCATCACTGGAATTCAGGGGATAGGTACAAAATTGGGAATCAGATTGATGGGCTAGATAGCTGAAGTAAGTAAGGATGGTTTTGTCAAGGGAGAAATCAGAGAGTAAAGTAGCCCAAGGTCACTGTGCTGGGGCTGACCACACTTAGGGAGCAGGAGGAAGACCTAAAAGGGAGCATTCGGGGAGATGGACAACCAGAATAGAGCAGTGTAGTGGAAGCCAAGGTTTCTGGGAGCATCACGAAAGAAATAATCAATAGCATTAGCTATTCTCAAGTATTAGTGTAAAGGAATATTTTATTTGAATATATGATTTCTAAGACCAATGCCTTTTCTTTAAACAATTCTAACAATGTTTCAACTGAATTCAAGTTTATCTGTTGAAAATTTCCCTTTTTAAGGCATTTTTTGAAGATCCTAAGCCAGAACTTTGGCTCCAGTTCTTCCGTAATGCATTTCCATTATTCAATTCCAGACAGAAGGGGAAGAATATAGGAATATATAAGCTGCAAAAAGCTTTTTGTATTTCTGTCAGAATTTGGAAAAAATATTGGCAAATGTAAGAGTAATTGTGGAAGATTGCCCTTTATGTGATTATCTCCAATTTGTCATATGTGTTTTGTTTGTACATAGTTGTTTGCAAGTTGTTTTCCCCAGTTGATTGTGAGCTTCTTGAGGGCAGAGCCTATTTTTGCTTTTCTTTGTATCCTCAGCACTTAGCATAGTGCCTAGCATATAGCAAGCACTTGATAAATAGTTGTAGATGTGACAATGTTATTTATAGCAATTTGGATCCTGTAGAGAGAAGGTGGGGGTGTAGGTGTAGGATGGAAGTGTGTAAGATTTATTTTATTTTTATGAATTATGTGGACCTTTGAAAGGCAAATTAAAAATTATCTTGGATTTTTTTTTGTCACAATGGGATCATCTGGATGACACAAAATCTTCAAAAGTATTCTTCCTACTTTGCCATATAATGACTTTTATAATGAATTTTATTTCTTTAAAGGATATGTTCCACCTCATATAGCAGCCCATTCCATTTTATTACATTTCTCACCAGAATGTTTTTCCTTATACTGAGCCCAAATCTACCCACTGATAATAGCTCAACCTGTTGTAGACATAAATAAGTCTAATTCTTCCACATCTCCCTTCACGTATTTGGAGACAGCTATTACGTCCTGCCTTCCTTTCCTCCTTCCTCCCTTTCTCCTTCTTCCTCACTTTATTTTCTTCCCTTTTCCTCTTTCTTCCTTCTTCCCCTTCCTTCCCTCTCTTTCTCCCCTTCCACTTTGAGAACAAAGGATAAACAAGTATCCCCTTCCTTCCCTTTTCTTCCTCTCCTTTCTTCCTTCTCCCCTTCCTTCTTCCTTTCCTCTCTTCCTTCTTCCCGTTTCCTTCTCTCCTTTTCTTCCTCTCCTTCCTTCCTTTCTTCCTTCTCTCTTAATTTCTTGAATTCCTACACCTTGGTGCGAGTGAGGAAAACTAAAACCAAAACCAACCAACCAACCAACCCAACACTTAGACTTCAAGTCAGAGGATCTGAGTTCAAATCCAATTCTACCTGGTAAACCTTTTAATCCCCCAGGGCCTCAGTTTCTGCGTCAGGAGAGGATCTCGCAGGCTCCTTCCAGCTCTGGTTACGACGGGGCGAGGCAGGAGGCGCCCCACGAGGCTGGGATGGGGCGGGGGGAAGGGCGTATGCCTCGAGAAGGCCGAAACAAGCAAAAAAGGGCCATTATGGAGTAACTTTGGATGGCAGTGAAAAGCTGAGCCACGATATGGACCTGGGTTCCAATCCGGGAGACGTCATAATCAGTAAATAGGGAATTTCCGCCAAGGGTGACAGCGCGCCCTGCCTCCTCCCCAGCCTCCCCCGCCCCCCAGCTCCAGATCCACTAGGGAGCAGGTTGAGTCCCCACTTCTCGGGGAGGACAGGGCGGTTCTCCTATCGCGAGAGTTAAGCACTCGTGGCCCGGGAAACTTGCTTGCGGTTGCCAGGGGAACGCTTCCGCGGAGAAAGTTTGTGACGTAGCGTGCGCAAAAGGGCAGGTTCTGTTTCCACTTCGGTCCAGATTACGTTACGTGCACAACCGTCGGGGACTAAATCCTGTTTCTGTGAATTCAGAGGTGGGTGAAAGACTCGGACGCGATTGGTGAGGGGGCGGGACCGACCCCGCCTAGACTGACCAATGAAGGGCCGGGCCTGGAGGAGTGTTTGGGCTGCTTTCGCTCCGGCAGAGACTTGGGGCGGAGTCTGTGAAGAGGGTAGAGGATGTCTCACGGGTACTAGTGATGGGGCACGACTATGTTGGAAATGTCTGTGGAGAAGAAGGGCTAGTTTACAGGTATTTGTATAGACGAAGGGGGCAGGGGCTATGTTAGGAGTCCAATGAGAGGGTTGTGTGAAGGCAGGGCAAGGCGTGACCATGTCAAGTCCAATGAGAAGACGGGGCGGGACCACGTCTAGGTTGTCCGCTAGGCTAGGGGGCGGGGAAATGCCAGAGGCCCAATGAGAGGGCAGAAGTGAGCCGTTAGTCGTGCCAATGAAAGGACTAGGGCGGCAATGTGGGGGTGGGGTGTGTCTCTGAAGGGGAGGAGTTATGTTGGGAGTCCAATGAGAAGAAGGGCGAGGGCTGCCAGGTGGTGCCGTGGGTGGAGTTCAAATATGATCTCAGACCCTTACTAGCCATGTGACCCTGAGCAAGTCACTTAATAGCCCTGTTTGCCTCCGTTTCCTCATCTGTAAAAAGAGCTGGAGAAAGAAATGGCAAAAACTCTAGTATCTTTGCCAGAGTAACGAAGAGCGGTCGTGACTGAAAAAGACTAAACAATGAAAATCACTAAGGGAAAACTGATTTTCTGCCGCCCTCCTCCGTATCACTTTTATATTCCCTGATGCTCATCTATTTTGAGAATGGTCCAGAATTTGAATAATTCTGTTACAAAACCATTTTTAAATTAAATTGTAAAATTTTCAACTGGCAAGCATTTTTTTTTCTCCCTTCTCCCTCATCATGGAGGGGAAAAAGAAAAGCAAAATCTCATAACAAGCACAGTCAAGCAAAACAAATTCCTATGTTGGCCATGTCCAAAAATGTATGATTCCATCACTTCTCTGTCAGGAGGTGTAGAGCATTTCTTGTCATTGGTGCTCTGGAATCATGGTTGATTATTGTGTTGATCAGAATAACTAAGACTTAAATAAGCACCTTTATTTGATCAGTAAAGTGTAATTGAACTGCAGTTTTTTCCCCTCCACTTTAAAATACATATATCTTCATTTGCTCTAAACCAGAAACAGTTGTAAAGGTGGACTGACTCAATTCTGTTCTAAATCATGCCATTTGAAAGAGTGGTTCTTCCTAGCAAAGACATAAATTTAAACTAGGGAATACAAAGAAGTGAGCAATGGGTAATGTCTTTTGCTGTCAGAGGGCTAGTGTAGAAAACATTTTACTGAATTGCTTGAATTTTTAGACTGAAAACTTAACACTTGAAATTTCATAGAATATAATAATGGGAAAATATAAATTAAATAGTTTTCAATACTAACCTGGTACAAACAAAGCATAAGAGTGATTTGGGTTAGTGAGGAACCCATTACACATACCCTGAACTACCATGCAGACTTCCATTTTCTTGTAATATTTATTTTAAAAATCAATATGCTGTGATTTGAGCATCATCTCAACATAATTAATAGGGAGCTGGCCTTGGAGTTATGAAGACCTAGGTTCAAATCTTCCTCACATATACTGGTTTTGTCTCATTGGGCAAGCCAGTTAACATCTCAGTGCCCCTGGCAATCTCATAAGTGTATCAATTGCAGAGCAGGTGCTAACCTGCACTTTCCTCACTGACAGTTTCATATACCAATGAAATCACAGGTCTAGCTTAAAAAAAAAAAAGCTACAATTTATGGCAGGTCAGAGCTCAGTGATTTGACACAGCTACTGATGTCAGTATTTCAATAATGGGCACCACATTTTAAAAGGAACATGCACATCTAGAGGTGGGTGATTAGTATTAGGAAGTTGTTGAAAACAGATCTTATTCCCTTCCATGTACTCTGTGATCCAGTGATACTGGCCTCTTTGGGTTCCTTGAACAAGACACTGCATTTCTGTACTCGGGATTATTCACTGTGTCACCAATATCTGGAATTCTTTGCCTCATCTGTGCTTCCTGACTTCCCTGATTTCTTTCAGGTGCCAACTAAAATTCTGCCTTCTGCAAGAAGACTTTCCCCATCCCAATTAATGCTAATGACTTCCCTCTAATTATTTCCAATTTATTCTGTATATAGTTCTTGCATGTTATCTCCTCCATTGGACTGTGAGCTTCTTAAGAGCAGGAACTGCTTCCCCCTTCTTTGTATCCCTAGTGTATAGTACCAGTGCCTGATACATAGTAGGTACTTAATAAATGCTTGTTGACTTGACATATGATTACATGAAAATGAATGGTTGAAGGAACTGAATATATTTATACCGTACAAGATATGACAGTGGAGACATAATAGCTATCTTCAAATATTTGGAGGGATGTCATGTGGAAGAAAAATCAGTCTTATTGCTGCCTAAATAGGTATCTACCTCAATGCAGAAATTGTAGATGTAAAAACCTAAGTTTTATTATGTTTAAGCCTGGGCTCAGATATAAAAAAAAATGAACAATGATTAAGATTCCAACAAGGCTTCTTATAGACAAAATTATGTCAATGTGACAATTCTTTTACATATTGCAGTCTTGTACATTCCTCTTAGGCCATGAAAGTTTAAAAAAAAGTTAGATTTATGACATTGGAAGAAACATTTGGATTATAAAAGTTGAACAAATTTTAGTTAAGCAAAATCTCATACATCCCCTTAGGAAACAAACCTAGTTAAAAAGACTTTAGCTAAACTAAGTCAGGTTACAGATTAAAGTACATTTAGAGAATTCCCAATTGGCTGATTTAGAGGGAAGATTTATGTGCCATCAAGTTAACCTGTGAGAGCTGGTATCAGGGAAATCTTTACTTAATCAGTTAGCTAGGGGAGCTAACAAATAACTAAATCATTTGGAGAGCTTCAACTCCCCTTTGGCTTTTATGGAGGAATATCAGACAGTCTTCCCTTAATATTATTATTCTAAGAGTCAGATTTTGTTGAGGTTGCAGTGGGAGAGCTGGTTCGGAGTCGGTAAGAATGCCAAGGCCAGAGTCCTTCTAAGCAGGGCTTTACTGTGGTAAAAGCAAACGGAACCAACCAGTTCAGGATACTGGTTGGTTGGGTGGAAGGGGAATGGGGACTTGCTTATATATGAGAGCTAAAGGGGGAGTAACTTATGTAAATTTGCTATGGCATAATCTTTTGCTGTGCAAGCAAAAAAAAAAAAACATTTGTACCTGTGCTTTGCTGGGTCTTCCGGGTGGCTATCTTGAAATAGCTGTACTTTCACTCTCGAGAGTCCCTTCATATTCATGAAATGTTAATGGGGGCTTTGACATCACAAAAGGGCAGTGAGGAGTCTCATTGCTTGGTGGGCTTGGGAAAGTCCCTTGACCACAAGGTTGCTAGTGGTAGGGTGGATTGCAGAGTGGTGAGGTTGCTTATTCAGCATCTGGGGAAGGAGTTGTCTGTGCAGCAGATGGGGGAAAGGGCTAAGAATATAGGGGAAAGGGTTGCCTAAGCAACATATAGGGAAAGGATGGGGCCTCATTGCTATGGGGGGAAAATAGGACTTTGCTGTTCCTACTCCAAGGTGAGGATTAATATTTACAGAATTCAGGCTTTTAGTTAAACAGAAGTTGTAGGAGGAGGAATGCCCTGAATAATAAAATTTAATGAAAGAAAATCAAAATTCCCACAACAAGACTAAAAGTCATAGAACAATTGCTAATCTTCAATGGCAGTCTCCTTGTTCCCAATAAATCACAGATTTGGACACCACCCCCAAAATGAGAGAACAAAATGACTATCGACCATTTAGAGTCTACTGTAAAAAGATATTTAAGAAAACTCAAAGTAAACTTCCAAATCTTTTTCTCCTGGTCCTTCATTATTACTTTATAAAGTAGGATTTTAAAAATGTTGCTGACTTTATGTATGGAAATGTTACAGAAGCTATGTACCCTGAATAACAAGAGCTAAGTGGATCAGGAGGTATGTTTAATATGCTCTAATTCCATATATGCAATCAGTTGTCAAGTCTTGTTGATTCTACAGCTCCAGCAGCTCCCAAATCGGTGTATTTCTCTCTACTCATAATAGAACCATGTTAGTTCAGTGCCTTATCATCTCCCATTTAAACTATTGGAATAGTCTCTTACTCTCCCATCTGCAGTCCATCCTCTATACAATACCTAGTATCAGACTTATACAGAAATCGTCTGCATATTGACTACAAATTAACATTATTTATATTGTATTTATATTTATTTTGTTAAACTTTTCCCAATTACATTTTAATCTGGTTCTGGCTATGTTGGAAGTTTTGCTGGCCTCGAGTTTGCTACCCCTGCTCTATACTGTTTTCTAATTCAGGGCTTTTTAAACTTTTTTCACTTGAGACTGCTTTTTGGGTTTTGGCAGTGTTCTGGATTACATGGCCTGAGGGCATGCACACTGCAAAGTGCACATGCTTTGTCTTCAGAACCAAAGCTGCAGTGAAGTTGTACATCTTGGATTCATTACATATTTGATTTTTAATTAATTTTTGGCCCTTATGTGTTCAGAAACCTTTTACTATTGCCAAAATTTTCATGACCCCATATGGGGTAGGAGACCCATATAATTGATGTTCTAACTGATGGTCTAATTGATGTTTTTAAAGCACAGGTCTTGACACTTCCCTGATCAAAAACACCTCATTGGCTACACATTCTCAACCTGGCTCCAACTCTTCTTTCCAGACCTGTTATGTATTACTCCCTATCATGAACCTAACTGGCCTATTTGCTCTGCCGCCTACACAGTAATTCTGTTTTGTGTTCCCGTAACTTTATAATGTTCTTCTGCTTCATCCCTGCCTCTTGAGATTCTTAGCTCTCTTCAAGGTTCAGCTCAGCTGCCACCTCTCTCAAGAGGTCTTTCTAGATTTTTTTGTTAGCATCCCCCTCACCTATTTTGCATTCACTTTGCATATATCTTGAATTTACTTATCTCTGTCCATTTTGTATCCCTCAGTAAAATGAAAGCTCTTAGAAGGCAGGGGCTGTCTTTGTATCCACAGTACTTAGCACAATGCCTGGACTTGACAAATACCTGTTGAACTGAGTGGATTCTGTGAATGGAATCTTGGAGGAAAAAGTAGAAATTTAATCTCACTTGCAACTGGCTAGTGTAAAAATTACTTAGAAAAATATGAGGAATGAGTTCTTTAAAGATTAAGTAAAAAAGAATTGAAGAAAACAAAAGAACTGATTGAATATTTTCCTTTGACATCAAGTCTCAGCCACATTCATCTATAGTTGGAGTGAAATTAAATGTTAGTTTTTGTCACATGCAGAGTACCCAAGTGGATAGCAGGGCTTAGCTATGTGACCATATGAATTTGACTACTTGTGGCAAAAGTCTTGCCTTACAGATCAACCACTGTTAAATACACTGGGGAGGTAATGTTCCCTGTTAATTTGTGTCTGAGGTGATTTTGTTTTGTATGTTTACTGGAATAAACATTTTTTAGAGCAAACTCAGTAATGCTCCCAGACATCTTCCTACTGATGGAAATATTTTCCATCTCTTGCCTCCAGCCTAGTATAAATAAACCCCAAAACAAAATAGGCTTCACTTCATTAAAGGGAAGTGAATCTCACTGTGCAATCCTTTCTTTTTAGGCTATAAAACTACAAATTTGGGGATCTATCTCTCTACTTAGTGGATTTTTTTTTTGTTTTGGTGGGGGGAAGGAATAGTAATCTTCCATGTAGAACTATTTAACAACAATATGTTGGGAGACATTCTTTCTGTTTCATTATTTTCAGGAATAGGAACAATGGAAACTGAAGCCTAGGTCATTTTCTGAAGAATTTTTAAGCTTAAGGAAAGTGAAAGACAGACTTCTGGTTACTATTTGATGTTGGCTTATCATTGGTACTTAGAATAAGCTTATGACTTTATTGACATGTATTTTCTGTGTGCACAAAATGCTTCTGTCTCATTGCTGCTTTTAAAAGGGACAATGTCTTCTTTGACAGGATGTTTAGGGCAGTTACAAGATATGTGACCTTTTAGTAAATTTTGACATTTTTCATATTGTGTGTGTTATCCAGGGTGATCCATCATGCAATAATAGCAATGTCAAGGCCTGTCCCTAAGCCCAAGCCTTTCTAAAGAACCACAGTGATGTTGGGATAAATGACCTTTTCATTTATGAGATAGACAGGGTCAACACATTTGGGTCAAATAAGGCAATAGCCTAGGAACACTCAATAGCTCTAAGACAAATATGTTATACCTGCCTCTGTTCTTTTTCCTTTCCTACTTAAATACTTTTGTGTGGACTCTTTCTTTGCTCTTCACAAAAAGAAAGGGGAATGTTTTGCATGAAAATGCAGAAAATTATATTATTATGCCTAAAGGGGAACAATCACTTGCCTTTCTCCATTCCATTGTGTTTCTCCAGAGAAAGAAATTCTTTTAATGAATGCTGAATGCAAATTAAGGTGATAGGTTCCAGGGAGAGTGAAGTTGAAATTTATACACTCATCCTTGGTGAAATTAGAAAATATATAAAGTATTAAGAGGAAAAAATCTTGAACCTTCCCATTTGCTTCCTTGTCTGTTTTCTCCCCTTCCCCTCAGACACATACACTTGCCTAACATTGTTGTGTGACCCTCATCAAATTTCTGATCAAAGGATGCATTCTAGAGTTTAGGGTGAATTTGAAAAACATTTTTTTTCCAGCCAAAAATGAGAAGAGAGATTTGTGAAGTGAGTCTAGAGGAGGGTAACTAAGATTGTGAAGGACCAGGAAATCATATTTGAAGAGACTGGGAAGTTTTAGTATGAAGAAAAGAAAACTAAGGAGGGAAAGAGTAGCCAGTTTCAAATAAACGAGGTAATGTCATATAGAGGGGGAATAAGCATGAAGACAAAACTGAGGACTGTTGGGTGAAAATTACAATGAGACAAGTTTTGGCTTAGTAAAAAAGAATATTCTAAAAATAAGATGTTCACCAATAAAATTTCCTGGCACGTGGTGAGCTCTGTATTATTAGGGGTATTCAAAAAGAAGTTAGTTGACCATTTACCAGCAATGCTATAGAAAGAATCCCTGGTTTGAGTAAATGATTAGACCAGATGACTTCCTTTAAGAAAGTAATTTTCAGTTCAAAGATTCAAGTAACTATGATGCTCTGATATAGTGAGGAGTGCACTTGTTAAAGAAGAGGATGTAGTAAAGGCAGGATGAGAAGAAACAGAGTGCTCTTATGAAATGATTAACTCAGGGGAAAGCTTGCATCAATTCTGGTTGGGATGGAAGAGCCTAGTAAGTATTAGAGGAAGGACATGGATATTATAAACATTTCTTTTGGTGACCAGTAATGTCAGTTGTAGGCTGTCAGTCCACATCAGTACTTTATTTGTGCCTTTTGCCAGATCAGTCACCCCATGGAGTTAAAAATTTTGCACGGTGGCAATACCAGTCCATAGAATGAATTGTTTAGATGCAGGAGAAAAGTCTACAGTCTGACTCTATCAGCCATATTTTTTTATAGCTTAAGATTTTGTAATATTCTGTAGGTATTAATTATTTAAACCCATGATGACATAACTTGATTTTTTTGGTCTTTCAGGATTTTGATGGATATTATAAGAGGAAACTTGGATGGAATTTCACGACCAGCATCAAATTCAAGAATTCATCCTGAGAGCAGAAGTTCAAGTGCTTCTTTGGAAGTCTTGACACCAGAACCAGTGTCTATTAAGGTAATTTTTTTTTATTGGAAGTGATTTCAACTTGTCCTCTTTAAGCAATTGTGAAAAGCTAAGATGATTGTTAAGAAGCTATTTGAACTTCTCAAAAGAAGTTCTCTGAACTTCTCCGCCACGTACACATACATTCAAGAGGTTTTTTGTATGTTCTAGCATCATTGGTACTAAATAGAACCCTCTTATTCCTCTTTTGGATATTTCTTTTTTTATACTTTACTCTTTCCTGGTGTACTTTGGTGTAAATTTTATTTTAACTAAAAAGAATGACATTCAGACAGTTACTTAATAGGCTTCCATTGACTCATGATATACAAAAGGTATAGTATCTAATAATTGAAGATGATTTTGGTAATGGGAATATGCCTCAGTGCTTGATAGGTCCATTGCCTGTATGGCTCCTGTGTTTTGTGATCTCTTTTGGTTTGTTTAAAATAATCAAGTAATCATTTTAGGCATTTGTTTTCTCATCTGTAACAAGTGAAGATTTATATTTGCTCTTATTAAGATTAGAAAATAAATTAATTGATAAAATGGTTCCAAACACAGATTCCTTCACACATTTGAGAAACATTTATCATAATCTCCTATGTCTAAGACATTTTGGTAGGTGATGAAAGATAACAATAATTAAATAGGTAACATTTATAGCATGCTTCCCATGTGCCAGGCACTGTGTTAAGGGCTTTGCTGTTATCTTATTTAATCCTTGCAGCAACCTGGGAGGGAGGTGCTGTTATTACCTCCATTTTACAGATGAGGAAACTGAGTCTGAGAGAGGTCAAGTGACTTGCCCAGGATCATATAGCTGGTAAGTGTTGGAGGCAGAATTTGAATTCAGGTGTTCCTGTCTCCAGGTCACTCTATCTACGGAGACACCTAGCAGCCATGAAGGAGACATAAAGAAGTATAAGACATGGCTCCCGCCCACAGGGAGCTTAAAGTTTAATAGAAGAGAGAAGACATTTACTTCAGTAAATATAATACAAATTGAATTCATAAGAATGGTATAAAATAAAGTGATATAATTGGTCAGAGAAGGAAAAGAGCATTTTCCGGCACAAGGGATTAGAAGGGCCTCAGGTAACATTTGAGCTGGGTGGAAGGCAGGAGGGCAGTTTAGGAATAATAAGGGGTAATCAGGGCAGAGTACTGGAGTCTGTGAGATTCAATTAACCTTTTTTTTAATTGCCTATTACGTGCAGGGCACTCTGGAGATGCAAAGACAAATGTGCCCCTGCCTTTAAAGAGTTTGACATGCTGACAGCATGTTCAGTTTGAAATATCAGTAGGCAGTTCGAAATGTTCAACTGTAACTCAAGAGAGACACAATAGGGCAAGTTATATAGTTTTTGGAGCCCATAGAGATGATAATTAAACTAGAGAGAGAGTGAGAGAGAGACAGAGAGAGAGAGACAGAGACAGAGACATTAGACACAGACACACACACACACACACACACACACAGAAAGAGGGAGAGAAAGAGAGAGAGAGAGAGAGAGAGAGAGAGAGAGAGCAGGCCTTGGAGGACCGCCAGTTAGGGGGCATGATATGCAAGATGGTCCATCATGGGACATTGGGAAAGAACAGTCAGGTAGGACAGCCAAGGGACAGCAATGTCACAGAGAGGAGAGAATGCTCAACAATGTCAGAGGCTATAGAGAGTTTGGGAAGGATAAGGACTGAGAAGAAAGAGGCTGGCAGATTTGGCACTGAGGAAAGATCCTTAATAACTTCAGAGATGGCAGTAACTTTTAGGAGAGTTATTGGTAACTATTTTTTCATGGTCTAAATGTACCAGTTGCATGTTTTTATGCCCTGTTGTGCATGGCTGGTCTGTTTGACTCTCTAGTTTCCTTAAAACTTGCTACAGTTGTACTGTTCCTCATGGCTACATTAACCCTTCATGGAAACAACCTTCTCTGAGCTATGGTGGGCAGAGATCAGATCTGAGGGGGGCAAGACTATTATTCTTTTATTTAAGACAATAAACATTTAGCAAGCACCTGCTGTGGGTGAAGCACTGTGCTGATGCTGGAGACACAAAAATAAATGAAAAATAGTACCTGTCCTTAACAAGCTTACATTCTGCTGAGGGATACAACATGTAAACAAATGAGTAAATACAAGATAATCTGAGGAGGCAGAGAGTACTAATAACCAAGAGGATCAGGAAAGATTTTCTGTAGAAAGTGGCACCTTAGGTAGCATTTGAAACTAGGCCTTAAAGAAAGCTAAGGATTGTGTGAGGCAGAGGTCCAGGCTTGAGAATGAGCCAGGGCAAAGCCATGTAGGCTGCAGATGGGATGCAAAAGTCAGAGAATAGCAGGTAGGTCAGTTTCTCTGGAAAATAAACCGTGTGAAGGGCAATAGTGTTTAGAAATATCTGGCAGAGTCAGAGTGTGAAGGGCTTTAAGGCAACAAACATTGATTTTTAAAATTCCATAGGATTATAGGACCTAAAACACATAGGATTATAAAGGAAAGCAACTATATTGAAATAGTTATCACACTGATATGGTTAAAAATGTTTATGGGCCCCTCATGTAGAGCTGGAAGGGAACTCAGATAACAATTACCAACCTCTTTTTATAAAAGGGCGCTTTGAGGCACAGAATGATTAAATTACTTTCTAGGGAATTGTTAACTTTTCATTAGAAAAAAGTCTATCTTAGATTTTTACACAGGCAAACAGGACATTGTTACATTTCTTTTTTTTTTCCTTCTGTTTTGCTATAAGGTTAGAGAGGATGGAAAAGAAAGAAGAAAAGAGATAAAGAGCTGATAAGGAATGCTAGAAAAACAAGATGAGAGGTTCCTTCTTGCTAGGTCAGAAGCAGATAAAGTTTTCTCTAGTTAGAGAGAAATCAGAGTGTGGATGGAAGAAGCAGCTGGGTAGGGATTTTTGATAAAAGTCTCAAATCATATTCAAAAAATCCAAACTAAAGAGTTCATATTTTATTTTAGAGGTAACGGGGGGAGCCACTGAAGATATTTGAGCTGGGGAGTAAGATAGTCAGACTTGTACTTTAGGAAGATGATTTCGGCGTCTATGTAGAGCATGGATTGGAGAGGAACAGAGAGATAAGTTTTCATTTGTGAGAATTTAAGAGCTGTATCTGTACTCTTGGCCAATCAGAAAGCCGATGGGATGGCCTTTTAGCATAGGCACAGATAACACAGATGTGCCTGTAGGCATAGCTAGTATTTTACTTTGAAAAGAGGTTTTATTTTTCTCAAATTCTTGTTCGATTTTCATGGTTTCTGAGTTCAATGGCGGGAAATTTAAGCTACATTCATTCAATTGATTTCAACAAACATTAAGTACTTACTATATGCACACTGTTAGTGTTGCAAAGATTAAGAATGATGCAGTCCTATCCTTTAAAGAGCTTAAAGCCCATTGTGGGAGCCTAACACGTATAGTACAAGGTGGCCTGTGGTGCAAAGGGGAGACTGAGACAAAGGGCTCTCAGGAAAGGTGGAGAGAGAGACAGTTTTTTCTTAGCCCAGTAATATGGGAAGGAAGCAGTAGAGGATAGGGAGGACGGGGACTGGAGAATATAGAAAAGGATGGTGGTGATGCCAATTAAATACAATTTTTGTGAGTTGAATGATTTTCAGAACTCATGTACAAATCTGTTAATGTCTAACTCAAGGGCTTTCTTTCGTTTTGGTCCCTACTCACCTTCAGTGGATATACAATGTGTACTGATAGCCATACTGTTTCATTATAATTATCTTATAACCATTAAATTCACAGTGAACCACATTTTCTTCTGAATGAATGATCCCAGTTATTTATTTGGAACATAAGTCTTTTATTATCCCCAACCACTTAACTATTTTGGTCATTCTTTTTTTTATGCTTCAAAATCTTTACATCTTATCTAAGTTTTGAAGCAGAAAATTAAACATATTACACTAATAAAAGCCTAACCAATTTTGAATGTAGAAGGAAGATTGGTACATAGTTTTGATATGCAAGCACTATATTTGTGACATACATTCTTGAATTATGATATTTTAAAAATAAGAATTTTAAAATAACTAACATTGCGTTATTGACTTGTATGTACAGTACTTCAGGAGTATGAAAAATCCAAGATTTTGTTATTGTTAAATCACAAATTTGGTCTCCTATAAAAAGGATAAGGTTCATGCAAGTTAGGTTAGTGATTCCTTGTTAGTCAGATTGAAGGAAAATCCATCCAAATTTATGCTTTATTAAAACTGAAATAGGCATATATGTTGTATATGGTCTGCTATTTTCTAGGAATGTGGTATTTATAAAATCTTATCTTGCAAGGCAAATTGCATCCCCTCTATACTTTACTAGATGACTTTATGAGTTACTGGTCAAAAATATTTCTCATCTGGTGTCTAACCACTTGCTCAGGAGTCTCTCTGTACTTGGACAACTGACATACCATCTGTGACCAGGCCTGAAGCTTTTCCAGCTTAGCAGGACCTGCCAGAACTTGTGCTCCTCCATTGGCAACTTTTCAGGAACCTGGAGTCACATCTGTTCCATGATGTGGTGATAAAATAGGACTTCAGTGTAGGTGCATTTTTAAATGCTTATCAATATGGTGATGTAGGGTTATTCCACAGTTAAAGAATAGAGAAGGGTTTAAAATTATGGACCTTTCAAGAAAAAGATACACATATGTCATATGCATTAGGTGATAGGAATTTCGGAGTTTATTTCGAAAAGTAAAGTCTCATGAAAGTTGTTAGACTAGAATAAGGAAAATTCATGACAGTTTGTTTGAGATTAATGGTGAGTCAAATGTACGTGGTCCGCTTTTTTAAAAAAAAAAATAATGTGTATCTTATGCTTCCTAAATAAAGAAATTAAAGTTGATTTTGTGTAATTTTTTTACTTCTCTGAATCCCAGAATGGGAAGGGACTTGAGAAGCTGCTCCACCTTACTACCTAACTAACCCCCTCTCCAGAGTCCCTAGCAAATGGTTGTCTAGCCCTCACTTGGAGACCTTAACGAAGGGGAAGCCATTCCTAGCTGAGGCAACCCATTCCACTTATGGGCAACTCCACCTTATGTCAAGCTGAAACCTGCCTTTTTTTTTTATTATTTCCTCCTATTTGGTTAAACAGAACAAATCTTCAGATACTTGAAGACTGCTCTTATGGTCCCCTGCCGAGTTGTCTCTTTTCAAGGCTAAACAGCCCACATTTCTTTCATCTCTTCTTTTTTGACATGGACTTGAGAACCTTCACTATTCTGGAGATTGATAAGATGGAGAATTTCCACAGAAGGAAAACCAGTCATAGAAAGATGTGGAGGCACCGGAGTTTTCACTGATTTGCCCAGAGTCCCATGGTCAGTAGTTGTCATCAGGGACTGGAACTCAAGTCTTCTTAGCTCTGAGGCCAACTCTAATCACTGCCGTACTCTGTCTTTCCTGGGAGAATCTAATGTGGTCATTTGGGTCATGGAGAAAGCAAGTATAATAAAACTTTGGTAGTTTTACCTCCTCTTCCTTCTCTGTTGTGATTGTCTAATGCTCCCGAGCAATGGCCCATCTCCTCTTTTCCCCAGTAAAGCTAAAAATCAACTTTATTTTGGGACTATTCTTAGTATTCTTTACCAGATTCAGCTTATTAATGTTACTTACACTAGTATTGCTTCAGGTTTTGGAAGAGTAAGGACTAAATTACTCCTAAATTCACTAGAATTTTGGTAAACTTTGGTTAGAAAAATAAATTCTACTTTAAAATGTTTTCTGAAATTCAGTGTAGCTTCTGGGACTCTATCATACAAGGGTCCCTAGAAAAGTTGCCCCAGATTTAAGGCACTCTGGGAGTCAGCACTTACCCAGAATCATAGCTTACAAGTTCTGTTATCCAGTCAGAAGGGCACATTAGTTACAAACAACAGGTTGTTGTTGTTGTTGTTGTTGTTGTTCAGTTGTTCAGTTGTTTCAGTTGTGTCCAGCTCTTCACGACCCCATTTGAGGTTTTCTTGGCCAAGATGCTGGAGTAGTTTGCCATTTCCTTCTCCAACTCATTTTACAGGGGAGGAAACTGAGGCAAACAGGGCTAAGTGATTTGTCTAGGGTCACACAGCTAAGAAGTGTCTGAGGCAGGATTTGAACTCAGAAAGATGAATCTTCCTGACTCCAGGCCTGGCCCTCTATCCACTGCATTACTTAGGTGCCCCAAAATGTTTATAAGGAAGCATTTACTTGTTTAGGGAGAATAACTAGTATAGTATGGAAATATTGAAGAAGGAAAATGGGACAGAGAGGAAGGTAGGTATATGATGGGAGTATAGACTGAGGGTCAGAAAGAAAATTGGTAATGTGAGAGGCAATAGTAATTGGGAAGAGAGGAGTCAGTAGGTGTGGAGTACAGGGAAGATGGCTGGAAGGCAATTGGGGTTTGGGTACTTGGGAGCAGGACTCCTAAGTGAAATTGTACAGTAGGCAAAGTATGGCTCTTCTTTCTTTAGACTTTTCATCCCTTCCCTAGTCCCCTAGGTACTTAGCACTCTAATGGTCTTTCAATCTAAATCTTTTCCCTCTTCCTAATCAAAATCTGATCTGACAGAAATTCATTTGTGTTATAATAAGCTATTAATTAATTTGTTTATGGTATATTATAGGCTCTCTACTTTGTGTTCCACCTCTCCTCCCATCCCAAGTACTGAGTGCCCACAGAATTACGATAATGTGCATCAACTACTCAAGTACCAGAAGGAAAAGGAAAACTGTGTGATGACATCTTTGTTGTTTTTTCCTACAAAAAGATTGACCTTTTAATTGATGGTCTTTGCCTTTAGTTTTTCTTTTAATTCTGTGTAAAGTTCTGTCAATCTTATATCATATGCCTACATATTCTTAAGGATCAGCCCCACCGAATTTAGCCTCAGAGATATGGCAGCCGCTCTATAGGAATAGAGTGATCCTGAGACTTGAGGTAGTGGGGACTTTCATAATAGCCCTTGGAGGAGTTAGGAGAACCACATAGATCCTAAGGTAGGAGAGAAGTATGGTGCTGTTTTTTCTGCTGTAGTATAGTGCTGCAATGCCCAGCCTCATGTAGAAACCAAGGACTGGAGGTCTAACCGGACAGAGCAGAGAGACAGGCTGTCAGTCTCTGCAGGGATCAAAACTTGCCACTCAGCCAGTTAGACCTGAGAGCAAAGATTCAGTGGGATGAAAGTGATCTTGAGAGATCAATGACTCCATTCCCCTGTCTTCAGATAGATCATACAGTGCATCCTAGAAATAATACAGGCTTATTTAAAAACAGCTTTCAGAGAAAATAATTTTCTCATGTTCATCAGGAAATGCATACCAATGTTTAGCATACTCACTATTAGGAAGTTCTTTGTAGTTAGCTAAACTAAGTCTGTCTAACATAAGATCAGTGTCTGTCTATCTATCTGTCTCAATCAATCAAATAAAATCCTATAGTAAACATTTTTTTCTTACTTTTCCCTCAGTAGAGATGGAGAACATTTGATTTGATTCTGCACAGTAACCTTGAATATTTAAGCTTCCTCTCAGCTTTCCTTTCAGGCTAAGTGGTGACAGTTTCTTCTACTTATCTAATAGGTGTTCTTTTTTAGTTCTTTGCAAATCTTGGCATCTCACTAAGCTTTCTCTGTCCTTGGTGTGTGCATAGCTAGGTCTGGGTTCTGCTCTGCTGCATTGGGCAAGGGTAGTGGTATTTCTGTGTTTCCATGTGTGTGTGTGTGTGTGTATATATATATATATATACATATATATAATATACACACACACACACACATACATATCATTAATTTCCTCAACATATGGAACTCCCTTTGTGACACTTGTGTCCACATATATATATAGATAAACACCTAGAGATGTTTGTATGTGCATTTTGATTTTTCAGGTTACTGCTTTTACTAGCATCTAAGTATTTATTTAAAATATAAATTATATTTTAAAAATACAACTGAATCTGAAATTTATTTTTAGGTTGATCCTTCAATCAACTTGAATAGTAGTAGCCAGCAGAGCAATATAGAAAATTACAATTTCAGGGAAAGTAATAGCATTAATGGTAAGAAGAAACATGATACTCAGAAGGTTGACCACAATTTACATGAACAGACCAAGGCTTCTTGCACTGAGTATTCAGGTATGCTAGTAGGCTAATAATAACCACAAAGGCTACATTCTAAAAACAAAAGATATTGAGTGAGATTATCAGCTTGAATATTGCGAGTCTCTGAGGATGGTGACTGGGGGTATATTAAAGAAGTCCATGAACCAAGCCATTGAGAAAATTGAAAGAGTAACTTGGAAGGTGATAGATGACAACAATAAGAATAGGCATAAATAGATTACATTTGCTTTAAAAGGGGAATGGTTGTTGAAAGATGAAGGTAGAAAAACTGTATGGAAGTAGCATGGGAAGGGAAGAATATGCCGATTTTCTCCTCCTAACTCTGTGTGTGAATGTAGGGTTATAGAGAGAGTGGCCTTTAGGTTAGGGAGCTATGAGGTATGTGGTATTCTCATGGGAAAGCCAGGTTTTAGCTAAAGCTTGTAGGTAGGATAAGTTTAGTTGAAACATTAGGGGATGTAAGGGAGTTTGAGAATAGGATGGATTTTCAAAGGACCACAGTGAATGAGGTAGGAGACTGCTGAACTGTGGTGGAATGTGCCTGAGGAAGAAGACTGATCAAAATAGAGATGAGGGTTCAAAAGGAGATAGTATGGACATCCAGCTTGCATCGAAGGTAGTAAGGCTTTGATTGGGGCTGGGAAACCAAGTATGTTGGCAATATGGGAGGCTGATTCACTGGGCAGAACTTAAATCATAGAAGAATTTGAAGAATTAACCTGCCTCAAAGTTCTAAATGGAATATGGTGTTTCAGAGCATATCTACGCAAAATCTTGCCTGCAAGTGAGCTTCTGACCTTTATGGTGGCTTTGGAGCTTCTGAATGGGAAGGGTAGCTGACATAGAGAATGTATGGAGAGACATGGACATGAGCTGGACAGGGTGAGAAACATGGAGGGAAAATTCCTAAAGCTTCCTTCAAGGAATTCAGGGATTTTGATCTTTATGGCTTGAGGAAATGTCTATCTATGCTGATATAATCATGTATACATCGAAGTATAAAGAAATATAGTATTAAGCATTAGGAAAAAATGTTAGTTATTAAAATACTGTTACATATTAATTTAGTAGAAAGTATTCTATAAATCTTTACATAAATCTGTGAGGGATCTGTGATTTTTAGCAGGTCCTATGTAAATGCCAGCAATGATTATTATTATTATTATTATCATTAATTTCCTCAACATATGGAACTCCCTGTGTGACACTTGTGTCCACATTAATGCAGATTGCAGTCTATTTAAAATTTCATAGATTGAGAGTTGCCTGGGACTCTAGAGGTTAAGTGATTTATACAGGTTCATATAGTAAATATTAGAGATGGCATTTGAACTACCATCATCATAACTGTACCCATGATGATAAGTACTTATCTCTAACCCAATAATCTATACATGATGAGAAACTGCCTCTCTTCACAAACCTCTGTATGATTGAAATTATATGATAAGTATAACTTATTAATACAATTTATTAATCACACTCATAATAACAATATAATAACATAGTGCTTTAATCTTGATAAAGCATTTTTTTTTACTGTAATCCTCTGTAGTACTTTATCCATCTGTGTACTTTATAGATGAGTAACCTGAGGCTTAAATGGTTAAAATGACTTAGGCTATGCAGATAGTAAATGTTGGAGTCAGGACACAAACCCAACATTTCTATTTCTTATGTATGAATTTTTACTTAGTTTTACTTAATTTTTGAAAGACTGAATATTGTCATTTTTGTTTTTGCTTGATTACAAGAACTTAATTCCAGTCTGATTGCTTCAGAAGATGAATATGAAGTTCAGTATTTCACTCTCTTTGATATGCCTAAGGATATCCTAAGCCAAGTGAAAGAAGGTAGTATGGTTTAGGTTTGTTGTGGGCCACAGTTCAATAAGACAAATGTCGTTGTATTTATCTTGCTATGGTAGCTGTATAAACTGTGTAAGATACTTTTAAATACCTGATCTTTAGACCACCCAAGTAGACTCAAGCTGAGAATGTTAGGAATGGCAGTGGGGAATTACAGATGTTCCACTGGCTGCATTAAGTGTTGCAGTACCCATTCATTAATAGGGCTGATATTCTTGGAGACTCCTCCCCTTCAAAAACAAAGTGACCCCATTAGGGGGAATGTGATTGATCATTTGGACTTCTCAGAAGCTGTGACTTCTTTCTTTCATGTAACTATATAAACTCCTGCTGGCTTAATCTGGGAAGGCTAAAAAAAACCCAAAGTAGGTCAATGTTTGATTATTTCCCTGCAAGGTTATTACTTTTAGTCATGTTTAATTTAAAATTTGAATAATTTCAAAGGCCCTAAGTGGTCCCAATTTCCTAGAATTTAATGTTAAAAATAAAAACTCAAGGAAATTCCTGAGTAACTAAATGAAACATTTCCTAAAAGTTTTTTTTTTTAAAGATTTCTCTGTTCACATATAGAACTTTATTCATTGTAATGATAATAATAGTTGATACCTGTATAGTGCTTTGTGGTTTGCAAAGCATTTTATATCCTTTATCTGATCCATATCTCATTCTCACAGCTACTTTAAGGCAAGTATTACAGGTATTATTTTGTTCCATCTTACTGATGAAGTAATTGGGACTCAGAAGTAATGTTGTCATTAATCTCTTGCTGATGGTGACGTAGCTTATAATAAGCATCAGAGGCAGGACTCCAACCTATGTCTCTTGGCTCCAAGTTTAGTAGTTACTTGGGTCTGTGTCTTATTTCCCCTACCATAGTATAAGCTTCTTCAGGCCAAGTTCTGTTCTTTTACATCTTCCTATAGCCAAATGTGACTATATATATGTGTGTATATGTATGTATATATGTTTATATATTTATAGCTTCCAGTATAGTATAGTGAAAAGATTCTTGATCTGTACATCAGAAGAAACCTGGGTTTGAATTTATCTTCTGCCATTTATAAATTATATTATCATGGACAAATCACACAATCTCTCAGAGCCACAGTTTCCCTATCTAATGAATGGGAATAATAATATCTATCTGACAGAGTTTTTGTGAGGCCTGATTGTAGGTAAGGTACTTTGTAAACCTTATGATGATGTGTCAAATGTTGGCTATGATAATAGTAATTATTATTATTGATGTAGCCCTTTAAGGTTTCAGAAGTTCCTCCCAACAATTCCTAAGAATTAGGTACTGCAAATAATCTTGTTTTCATTTTATAGAAGCAGCTGAAGCTCAGGTTCAATGACTTGCCCAAAGTGGTAGAACTAGGACTCTAATCCATGTCCTCTTTGCTTCAAGTTCAGCCCCCTTCCACTCTACCACTGGCTAGTTTAATGCTTTACCTCCTGTGGAGATTCAATGAATTAAAGAAAGAATAGATAATGAAAAACCTTGCAATTTTAATACTTTGGCAAGACTACTTGCTATAGTAGTTCAAAGGAAGGGAGAGGTCATTGAAAGCTAATGTGTTCAAGGAAGGCTTCATGGAGAAGGTGGAACCTGAAGTAGACCTTGAAGGGGACTCTTTAGTTGGGAGATGGGATTTGAATAAATGGAGAATAGGAAGGACGGTTCGGGCAAGGGCAATGAATGGACTAAAAATCCAAGAGGTGGCAATATATGTGGAAAGTAGCCCCAGTTTCCTTATCTGTAAAATGGGGGGGTTGAACTAGATGATCTGTTCCAATTCTAAAGGCTAAACAAACTTTTACTTTCCCTTTCACATAGACATTTCCAAAATAAAAGAATTGGATCTTCAGCTTCAGGAAGCTGTTAAAAAGATGAAGAGACTTGACAAACTATTGGTGGAAAAACAATTTAAAGAAAAAGAAATAAAAAAGCAAGGCCAAGAAATGAGAACAAAACTGTGGGAAGAACTTCGGGTAAGACAGAGATGACAATCAGTGTGACATGTGAAAGGCAAAATTCCCAGGGAAGGCATGGTATTTCCTGGCTATGTTGATGAGAAGTAGGATGTGCTTGAGGTGGTTTTAAGGATATATTTTATTTTATTCTTGGAGAATGAACAATTGGCTGTGTCTGTATTCAGGTTAATAGTTAATAGATAGTTGTATATCTAACCCTTAATAGCACAATTTGTGTTCTGAAGTATTTCTGATAATAGATATGCATCTGACCTGTACTGATAAGTATTTTCTTCATAAGTATAGGGCTGGATCTTTTTGTCTGAACTCTGGAGTGAGCAGGAGTGGGGCATCTTGGTCTTACATCTGAGCAAGAAGCTCTGGTCTTTCTACACAGAGTTTAAAGTTTGGTTGGTGAATAGCCAGGTCAAAAAAATGTGACCCTTGATGACTATTTTATTTGTGATCAATGAATCAGCTGTGCACACAGTTAAGAAGAGTGACATAAGATAGGTATTTATAAGTCACTGTCTTAAGTAGTCTAAATTTAATTTGGTTCAATTGTCTTTTAAATAAGTTAGACCTAACTAATTTTGTTATGAAATTGAGTATAAGGAAATTATAGCTAAATGGAAGGATAGTTCATATATTGGTGAATTGGTAGAATTTGATTTGATAATATGCTCAGAGGGAATAAGAAATATTATTGTGGGTTACTTGATCGCATTTCCCTGAAGTTCTGATGAAGACCGTAACAAACAAAAAGACCAACTCCAGCTTATGAACCAGTATCTGTTGCAGAGGATGAAGAGGCAAAGAAATTCTATGAAAAACTTTACAATATCCCTCAAACCAAATTACGTGTACACTGAAATTTATGAAGGGAGTCACAGGGGAGCATAGCAAAAAAAATCATAAAGTATAATTCAGGAATAAGAAATGAAAGAGATCTAAGGCCCTACTTAGGAGGCCCTTGCTGTTATAGCATAAATACTTTATTCGAGAAGAAAGTTTGGAGACACAGCACAGAAGTAAAAGTAATTTCAGCTTAACAGACAACAAATAACAGGTTACCAGTATCAGCATCTTTTCTGGTGCTTGTGGAAGTTGAATTGAATGGGCGGACAAAAAATCACAGATTTAAAAAAAAAGACAATTGAGAAGTTTGTCATTACAGACTCATGTGCCTATTTTCTCTTCTCTGTGAGAATGATCTGTATACATTCTATTGGTATTTTGGATGAAAATAAGAAGACAGTATTTCATAAAGTATTTTTTGTATTCGACCATGGCTTCACAGTTGTGTAATCGACAGTGCCACTGGACTGAAGAAGAGTACATAGATGGGAGGAGTTGGGAGGTGGTGTAAAATATGAGAAGATTAGAAAAGTAGAATTAGGTTATGAAAGGCTTTGAACAGCGAGCAGAAGATTTTATATTTGAACCTGGAGATGATAGAGAGCCACTGGAGTTTATTGAATAGGGGGTTGACATGGACCTGTGCTTTACGAAAGACATTTTGGCAGCTGATTGGAGGATAGACTAGATTGGGGAGAGACTTGTGACAGGTAAAGCAACCAGCAATCTGTTGCAAGAATCTAAGCAGGAGATGAGAGTCTGTACCAGAATGGTGGAAATATCAGAGGAGAGAAGGGTGCATATTGATAGGTGTTGCAAAGGTGAATTTGACAGACGTTGGCAACAGATTGGATATGGGGGTGAGAAATAATGAGAGATTAAGGATGAAACCTAGTTTGCAAATCTGGGGGACTGGGAGGTTGGTGTTACTTTCAACAATGATAGGGGAGGTTTGGAAGTGGGCAGGATTTTTGGGGAAAGATAATGAGTTCTGTTTTCTACATGTTGAATTTAAAATGTCTACAGGATGTCCAGTTTGAAATGTCTGCCTATTGGCAGCTGGAGATGTGAGATTGGAGGTCAGCAGAGAGATTAGGGCTGGATAAACAGAAGTAAGAATCATCGGCATGGAGATGATAATTGAATCCATGGGAACTGATGGGATCATGAAGTAGAGTGATAGTGAGGGAGAAGAGACAGAGCCCTGTGGGACACCCATAAATAGTAGAAATAACCTGGATGAAAATGTAGCAAAGGATATTTAGAAGGAGTAGTCAGGTGGTAGGAGGAGAAACAGGAGAGACGAGTGTCCTGAAAACCTAGAGAAGAGAGTACTCAACAGCATCAAAACCTGAAGAGAGGTCAAGAAGAATGAGGGTTGAGAAAAGGCCATTAGATTTAGCAACTAAGAGATCATTAGTAACTTTGGAGAGAACAGTTATGGTGGAATGATGAGGTCAGAAGCTGGACTGAAGAGAGAGTTAAGAAAAGGGTGAGAGGAGAGGAAGTGGAGGCAGCTATTGTAGACAGCTTTTTCAAGGAGTTTAGCCACAGACACACACAATATGTCAAGATCTACACATGCGTCAAGATCACAAAAGATTTTGATAATGGAGCAAGAAGTTCACTTCACTTCAAGATTCATTGATGGATATAATAATAGAGAACACATAGAGAAATATTGGGTTCAGCTCAGGCCTGGAGGATGTGCTATGGAAGAGGGATGGATGGTATGACCCTTTATATGCTCTTTTTTTGTATGGCACTGATGCTGCTTGCATAAAACTCCATGATACTTCAGGGCCTTTTCAATTAGATCTACTGAAATTTAAAAGAGACTAATCTTACAATCTGTACAGAAAACTCCTAAATGACTGAGGAATGCCTATTTTTCAGAAAGGGACACAGTTCATTGAGTTAGTGCATCAGTGCGTATAGCTAGGAATGATGCTACATATGGACAGTGAGTTGGGTCCAGAAATAAGTAGAAGGAATAAAGTAGGCTCGATTGCATTTGGTTAATTGTGAGCACTCTCTGAGATCCCAAATCACTCTCTGAGATAAAACTCATCTATTTTTACACTAAAATTTTTTCCAGTTATGCCATATATATGCTGAAAATCATGAAGAAACAGAATCTCCAAAATCAAAATTATGTGTGTTCCATAGGATAATGGAGCATAGATGGGTTGCAATCTATACCATTGGAGGGGGTACTCACATCAATGAGATCATAAATTCATTGAAGCATATGTTTTGTATTTATTTCTGAAAGAATGTAGCTTATCATTGACTTTCAGAGTAAATCCTTGTTATTTGTGATTTGAGTCTTCAGAGATGATGCTTATTGTGTGAGTTCACTTCATATTCCCAGAACATATGACTTTGTAGTGTTTGGTAATTAACTATTGGGGCTAGGGATAGGGTTTAGGAACATAGTTTGAATTGTGGGGTCAGAGGTTAGATGTCAGATTTCTAAGATATCAAGAGGAACTAGGATTAGAGTCATAGTCAGGACAAAATAGAAGCATAGACTTCATCCTTGTCTCTGTTTTTCGATTCATGATGTGGGTGGGTGATATTCTGAATGCCATCCATCCATATGGAGGCTTCAACCATTAGATCTTTTGCTCCAGTCTTGACCTCTCACCCAAGTTCTAAGCCCATATGTCCTGGACATTTCCACTTGGACATTCTAACCTTTATTGTTTTTCTTTTCATCTAAATCTTCAGTTATAGAATAATCTTGGCCTTTCATTCTTATTTAGACTCTAATGTCCTTAAGGAAAAGAACGTTAACTTTCTTCTGTTTCTCTCACAGTACTTAGCACAGTGTTGGTCATGAAGTAGGTGTTCAATAAATACTCATTGATTTGACTTTTTTTTTTTTACATTCTCAGGACCTCATGCTCTGTAATTTCTCCATAATACTGATGCTTACTTTTTTCCGCTTATTGCTTCTGATCTGGACTTATGCATTTCAGGGAGATAACTCCTTAGGTCAGAAGAAGAAACAATGTGATATTATAGTAATAGACTGAATTATTTTTGAAGAAGTTCTCCTAGATCACTTGACTGGTTTCACTAAAAATAATAAAATTAATAAAAAATTTTTGAAAGCTAATATTTTCTTTAGAGCAGGAGTAGAAGGGATTACCTACAGTACATGAAAGTAACAAATGTATAATTGGGCAAGGTAAATGGTATATTTTAACAGATGAACCTAGTCAGTTATTTATTTTCATTTATTATCATTGATTTTCTGTGAATTTCAGCCAGCCTAGAATAGGATTTGGTCAATGGTTGCATGTAAATATTCTGTAATTTTTCAAACCATGAAATGTTTGGAATTCCAATCAAATAGTGTACCTCTAGGTTATTCATTAGCCATAGGCAACTTCAGGCAGGATGAAGAAATTATTTACTTGACCTGCAAAGGTCATAGTTGGTAAAAAGGATTGTAATTATATAATGAGAGAAATATACTTGCCTCCATCTGAAATCACTGGCATAAGATTTTATAATGGCAGAAAAATTACTAGAACAAGGAATATTTAGAACATTTTTAGTTAATTGAGTTTAAAAAAGGACTGTACTTTCTTCATTTTCTGAGCCATTCTGGAAACATTGCTATTATTTTTAAATAAAATGAGTATAATCACCCCATTTCTTTCCTATATTCAGACTCTCTCCTTCTTTCATTAGATTATCAAAAATTTTGATGCTATAGAGAGTAATGAGGAGATAGAAAATACCAAAAAATTTGTGACTTTGGCTACTTCTTCAGAAGAGACAACTGGTGAGTAAGAGCGATGACTTTGAAAAAAAAAGTTTTGTAGAAGAAATGTATTTGCTCAAATATATACGTTAACTAGACTAAAAAATGAACGAGTGATGATTCAGCTCTTCTTTAGGGAAATAGTTGTTACATTAGCATAAATTGTTCAGGATCACCAAGATCCCGGTTCACTGTAATGTCTAAGGAGCCGGAGATATCAGTATGCAAAATTGGGAAGCAGGAGAAATAGTCCTTCTGTGACATCTCAGTGAGACAATGTGGTCCATACAGTGAATAGAGCTTTAGTCAGGAGGCCTTGCTTTGAGTTTCACCTTAGATACATGCTTTGTAATTATGGGCAAACTCATATCGCCATTTTCCTCATCTATAAAATAAGGACATAATTCTTGTACCACTTATCTCACAGCTTTGTTGTAAGGAAAGAGCTTTGTCAGCCTTAAGGAGCTATGTAAATCTTCACGATTATTTCTCTCGTGCACTTCTCTTTTCTATTGGGGGCCTCCTTTACCTAGACATCCTGTGTATTTAAGTTGGCTCATTACTTGGGACTCACCGCTGAAGTACCCCACCAAGTTGTACACTTCGTTTGTTAGCTCCCCTTGCTACCACTCTGGTCCCTTAGGATTCTCCTTTCCGAGGTTAGCCGATATGATTAATCCTGTTAATAGAATAATTCCTTTAACATATTTCTATTTTAACAGGACCTTCTGGAGACACAATGCCTTAGTCTGTTGACTCTCACTGCAGGAATTTTAGGACGTAGTTTGATAACTTGGGGGCAAGGATCCCTTTAAAGCTTTCCTCCAGTGATTTCGCAGAAGCGGGCAGCCATCTTCTTTGTCTGTGCAGAGCAATGGCCCTGTTATAGTTCCTTTGGTTTACTCTGGTTCTTTGATGATTAGCTTCTCATCTCCACAGTGAAACTCCAGCCTTGTAGAATATCCAAGACTAATTCCAGTTGAATGTAAGCTCCTTGAGGCTAGGGAATGTATCATCTTTATCTCTGTATTCCCAGCCTCTAGCAAGGCACCATGATCAAAGTAGACTCTTGCTACATTTTTGTTGAGTAATTTCAGACTCTTTGAATCCCTCTGGGTTAGAGATTTCTTTACCTTTTTTGTGTCATGGATATTTGGCAGTTAGATAAAGCCTTTGGAACCCTTCTCAGAATCATGTTTTTAAAATACCCGACTTAAAATACATAGGATTGCAAAGAAAACCAATTATGTTAAAATGCAGTTTGTAAAATATTAAAAAACAAATTTGCTACAAAGCAACATGTGCTTCTTTATTAATTCGTTAAATAGTCAAGTTAATAATTACATTTTATTATTTAATGATATTATGAAGGCTACTACTGCCTATGTTTACAATAGCAGAGAATACTAAATTTCAGCTAGAAATTATGAAAATAAAGATGTAAAATTTTTCCCATCCAAGTTCACAGCCTTCCTGCAGTCTATCCATAGGAGTCTGTAGACCCCAGATTGATAGTCCCTGCATGGGGATATCCTCTTGAAGCAACTGTGGACTAGATTAACCTTGAATGAAGCTTGCTACATAGAAAAGTGATGTTTCAAGAGCTCTTTGGGTAATGGGGATTTAGACTTTGTCAGAAAGGCTTCCTTTAAATCAGTGAAGTATGGTTGGTACATTTTATTCTAGAATGTGTCACACTGAAATTGAATTTGCTATTGTTGTTAGGCCATTTGAAATACTAAAATACTGGTTTTTTTTTCTCTCAGCATGATAACCAATTGGTCTTAAATACCAAATTTTAATTTGAGAGACTTTGTTTTTTAGCAGTCTGTGTGTTGTACTAATTTAAAAGAAAGGCTATACAACACATTAAAAAAATCTGCAAACCTATTGTTCTTGTTCAGGCATGTCTGACTCTTTATGACCCCGTTTGAGAGTTTCTTGGCAAAGATACTGGAGTGATTTACTGTTTCCTTCTCCAGCTTATTTTACAGATGAGGAAGCGGAGGCAAACAGGGTTAAGTGACTTGTTCAGGGTCACACCGCAACTAAGTTTTGAACTGAGGGCTTCTTGACTTCAGGCCTCCCACCTCTATTCACTGCACCACATAGCTCCCCATATAGCTTTTACTTTTTTACTGCTTGAACACTTAACAGGGCAATGGAGAAGGATAATGTGCCTAAAGGCTAGTGGTTGGAAAGCATGACCTCTTGAGGTTTCTTCCAAGTCTGTGATGTAGATGAACCCTTTTACTCCAAGCAAGAAATCTGGACCATGACAGTAATGACATGCAGAATTTTAATAAGATGCCATAATTTCTAGTTTAGAAACAGGACTTAACTGTTTACTTCTTTATCTAATTGGCAACCATCTCTTGAAAGGTGGGGGAGGGAGTAGTGATAGTAATGTTTCTCTCTCCCCTCCTCCCCCACAAAAAAAGAAAAGACAAGAGAAAAAGAAAATCAATAAAATATTAAAGAATACACAAAGGTGAGCAGGAGGAAGTTTAGAAGGGGACATAGACAATCAGGGAAGTACTCACATTATAGTGTAAAACTCAATATATACTTAAAGAACCCAAGAGATTTAAGGTTTAATATATAATCTTCTTTTTCTCTTCTTTGTACATATATGAAAATATTTATGTTTGTTGATCTTGTCAAGTTCACAATAAAGAAAGAAAACTTTTTTAAAGGCCATTAACTATTTCCTGCATACTGTCTAGGATGGTATCCTAAAGACAGACAGATCCTTATGGAAGGAGTGCTATAGTGAACTCATTTTAAACATTTTCAGTCACAGTTTTCACAATAATGTTAATTTCTGTTTTTTTTCAAATCACAAGGGGGCAATCCATAAAATATGCATGTTTTTTGATGATTAAAAAAAGAGTGGCATTTGTATTTAGTTTAAATCAGTGGTCTTCACATTTATGTGCCTTTTGAGCTACGTTTGCAATCTCAGTTACCAGATGAGCCACATGACTTGTGTCAGCCTTCTAGATGACTATAATATTCAAAAGGTTGAAATCAGAGGTCTCAGAGAGCTACCTGCTGCCCAGAAAAGCTCTTTTGAATTGTAGCCTCTGCATTTCTTATTTAAAGGTAAGTAAACTTAGGTCTAAAATGCTCAGCTTGCTGTAGATTGGATGAGATTTGGGACAAAATGTGAAAATAGAGTCATTGGTAAGGACTATGGGGAAAGATATTTATTTTGTTCATCTTCAGCTTTTATAGGTGAGGCCTTTCTTGAACCTCATTCCTTTTGACCCTCTACTTTCTCCAGTGGCTGTCCTGATTGCATTGCATTAGCTCTGATTGGTTCACCCCTATGGAGAATGATAATTGTTCTGCTGACTGTTAGGTTTTAATGAGAACCTTTGTGGAACAATTTATTCCTTTCTCTAGGAGGTAGTCTTTGCTGAAATTTCCTGCTGCTGTTTACATCACAACAGTGTAATTAAACCTTTACATTTTGATGCACATAAGTATTTTTACATGAAGAAAAGTACATAGATATTTTAAACCCCCAAACATTTTACAGTACCATGAATGATCTTTCATTCTTGTTGCAGTGAAAAGATGGAGAACTTAATACTTTTAGTATAGGGTTTGTATATAAACATTGTCCAGCAGGTGGCAGCATCAAATTAAAATTCTGAAAATCTCTAAAATTGAAGAATAATTTGGCCGTGAGCAAAGTAGAGAAGATACCCTGAGAGTTTCTTTCCCTTTTTCTTTTTGACATATGAAGTAGTTCTTATAGTGAATATTTTTCTTTGACTTATGCAGTTTTCCTTGACATTCTATCCAAGAGCTTTCCATTGAATTGCTCCAACAATAATAATGGTAATAGCTGGTATTTATATAGTACCCTAAGGTTTGCCAGGTGCTTTATATGATATCTCATATGGACTGTGTCTGGATAGCAGTTCCCAACTTTATTTTAGCCCACTAAAAGCAAAACAAAACCTTTTCTGTCATATGTTTGGTGTTTGGACATAAAAATCCTACTTGGATTCTCTATTATGAAATCGAAGGTGACCCTATGCTCCTAATGCATACTCTGGCAAGTCCAGCCAATGCAGAAAGGTTTCCCTTTTTGCTCAGGGAGCCTGGCTAAGTGCAGTATTAAAAAAGAACATTGGTGTGGAATATAGTGCCTAGATTTAAATCCTTATTACCTATAGAGCTTTGGGCAAGTCACTTAACCTTTGTAGGGGTCTTGAAGGTCCCTGTCCGCTCTAACTGTGTGAATCACAGAGAGGCTTATTAGGTTGGCTATTAAGAAATAGTAACATCTCACCTTTATACAATGCTTTACAAAGTCCTTTCCTCACAACAACTCTGTGAGGTAGGTAGTGCCAGTATAATTATTGCTATGATGAGAAAATTGAGGCTTAGGAGAAGTTGTGATTTTCCCAAGGTCACATGGCTAGTACATGGCCAAGAGCCAAGACTTGAGCTCAGGTCTTCTGACTTTAAATATAAGATGTTTTTCACTGTTATGCTTAGATCTGATAATAAAGTGTTAACTATGAATGGAAAATGTCTGATATGGATCTTGTGAATTGATTTTTAAAATACCTTTTGGGATTCATAAACTAAAGATAATGGCCTCTAATTTGCCATTGGGATTTTGGATAAGTATATAAATACTGCGTGAACATTGCTGAAAAATTTTAACATGCAGATGTGGGGAATAATTATTTGTGAGCTTTTAATAAAAGTACAATTAGAATCTAAACACAGCAAAGTTTCTTTCTAGATTTCTGCTGCATCTAGTTTATAGAAGTGTAGACTCTCTCCATGGCCCAATGGTGGGTCCTTGAAAGCTACCACAGGTTTAAGGATCAGAGTCCATAGCTCATGTGCTCTCAGTGGACTTTCTTTGACCAGATCAACCAAAAGACACTCCAGGTTGGAGCAAGAGACACACTTAAAAAATAATAATTTTATTGATATGTTTTGTTTTTACATCACTTACATTTTCCAATGTATCTCCTCCTAAAGTGTCATCT